GGGAAGGACAGAGAAACACAAGTTGTTAATAATAAAAGAAGACTTAAAGGCACTGGTGATAAGGTTCAAATGATAAACTCCTATCCAGCAAGTACAAGGCTCTGAGTTCACACCTCCTCAGTTGCACTGATAAAAGACTAATGGAAGGACAGACAGACACAATAAAGTTCTTCCAACCTGCATCTAATTAAAGACAGAGTTAGAACTTCCTTAAGTAACATGCAGCTTATTAAAAACGTCTCATATCTGACAATATGCCATTTTCATTTATTTGTTCATCCATTTTGTAGTGCTGATGATCAGACTTAGGGCCTTGTTCAAAGTAGGCAAATACCCTAGCACCAAGCTATACCCTAAGCCTAAAATGTTAATTATTAAATCTGGGTAAGTGATGCTAGATTTATATACTACTTCACTTTTATTTATATACATATATATATATATATATTTATATGTAAGATCTTCCATGGTAAAGATTAAATACTGAAAAAACAAAGCTGGAATTAGAGACATGGCTTAAGTGGTAGAGCACCAGTTGTGAGTGACCCAGCCATGTGAATTGATCTTGGTGGTCCTCTCCTGGGAATGTCCTCCTTTGATCTCACTGTGTCAATGTCTGAAATCCTGTGTGATTTATCCTGTCGCGTGCGTGCGTGCGTGTGTGTGTTTATTTGCAAACAAGCTCTTTTCCTAAAAGCTATTACCCACTTCTCCCTTGGTCTTAGGCATCCACTAACTTTCTGTACAGATAGGTTTGCTGAATCTGAACATTTTATTTTATATAAATGGAATGATATAAGCTGAAAAGCAAAAGATCAAATACTGAATAAACATGTTAAAATATTTTAATCTCAAATTGCTAATTAGAATTTTGAAATCAGGAAAAATAAAAATTAAAGCTTTTCCATATGAATTGAACATATGAATAGGAACACAAGACAAAGTGTTAGAAATATGTCAAATTACTAAGGAAAGACTGTTAGTCTTTTCTGAACCATTTACTTCAAGAACATTCCAAGTAGAGAAATGTGTGTGTGTGTACACATGTGTGCATATATATATATATATTTTTTTTTGGGGGGGGGTATCAGTTGTGGGGCTTGAGCTCATGGCCTGGGTGCTATCCCTGAGCTCTTTTGCGCAAGGCTAGCATTCTACTTTGAGCCACAGCACCACTTCCAGTTTTCTGGTGGTAGTCTCACAGACTTTTCTGTCCAAGCTGCCTTTGAACCATAATCCTCAGATCTCAGTCTCCTGAGTAGCTAAGATTATAGGCATAAGCCAACAGCACCCAGCTGATTAATCTGTATTTTAAATTGACGGTTTTTGTTTAAAAAAATGAATACAAAAGGGAAAAAATAACAACACACAGCCACTTATTTCCATGTCCATTCATCTCAAGCTGCTGCTGATCCATGGGTCACACTCTGGGTGGACAGCAATAACTGAGATCAAACACTAACTTCAGTGTTCATGTACCAAACAAGCTAAACATACTGTAGGAGACACTTAAGTACTCTACTCCAGTAAATATCCGTTATATTTTGTCAAAAAAAAAGAAAAAAAGCCTTTCTTCCTTTACCCAGACTCCCTAGGTGCCTTAAACTCACTCTTCCTAACCAGCATTTAAGTATTTTATATTTCAGTAGCCAATGCTTAAAGGCACCATATGCAAAATACTCTTCAACAGTCACAGTTCTACCATGAGCCAGTCCAAATAAGTCACATACTGTTCTTAGTTGTATATATTACCAATATTCTTGCCTCTAGTGATTATTATATAAAATTCATCCGAAGTAAATAATCTTTTAGTATATATTTAAAAATAAGTAAAAATGGTCAAAAACAATGCACATTAACATTCTCAAAACCTTTCCAGTGGCAAAATCTATTTTCAATGTACTGTTTGGTCTTGATTCCCTGCCAATGCCTAAAATTTGTGACATATTTCTGTGTATATTTTTGTCTTCTGTTTTTGGCAAAAAGTGGCCTACCATTTATGGTAGTGAGATGGTATTAAATACAGCTATCACATTAACTGGCATTATCACTGGATATGGAAAAACCATAAAGGCAACAATGAAAAGGAAATTTAATACATAAGCAATAATCAGAGAAACAAGAATATACTCATCTAACCTTCAATTTTCTCTTCTCTAGGTCATTTCTTAAACTGCATATTACGAATTCTTGCTTACATATCACACACTTGAGGTCACTAGAATGCAGTAAAGGCACAAACGTTCAGCATGAGTAATTTGGAAGTAACTGCTATACAGTGAGAAAGGTGTTTGTAGCATGGTATTTCCAAGGTGGAGGAGCACAGCCACCAGTGAACAGCAGAGCTTTGGTACCCCGACACCTACAGATTATAGCACTGAGAACATACCTGTCACTTCTGGATGTGGGGATGGACACCTATACTGCCAGCATGTGAGTGGCTAAGGGACTATAAATTTGATACCACCACAGATTATATACTGAGACCATCAGCAATGCAAAACAAAGAAAGGCTACTTAATCACATTTTAATATAGCAGGTGTTCCCTAAATGGCTAATTTAGAGAAAGTAGACAGTGCTGCATGCTAGGCAACCCTCTAGCATAAAACCCAGTTTCTGTACAAAAGAAGGTCCCTCCTGTAAATCACAGATATAGACCAGGAGAAAAGCCCTGCATCTAGACAGATCAGATTTGACAGAGACATGGGAGAGGTTCATGTGCCAACTCTCAGACCACTGCTATTTCCTACAGCTAGGCTGCTCCACAGAAATGGGAGCAGACCATTAATCTTTTTTTTGATAGGTCATAGGGCTTGAACTCTGGACTGGGAGCTATCACTCAGCTCTTCAGCTCAAGGCAAGCACTCTACCACAGAGCCACTTCCGGTTTTCTAGTGGTTTATTGGAGATAAGAGTCTCACAGACTTTCCTGCCCGGTCTGGCTTTGAACCATGATCCTCAGCTCTCAGCCTCCTGAGTAGCTACGACTGCAGGCGAGAGCCACTGGCGCCCGACCAGACCATTATTCTTAAAGGTTTCAAAAGAGGAAAGGCAGACCAGGCCCAGTTCAGCCAGACCAAGCAGAGGAAACAAGATGGGAACATGACCACTGTTACCAGGCATTGGGCTAAAGTGAGCTGGGGTACTTAAGTGTGCTAGTTAACTAGGGTCACAGCTGTCTAAAAATGTGTTTCCCAGGGGCATGAAGTGTGACAGAAGGGGTGAAATTGACTGGAATAGAGTATAAACGTGCAGAGAGTTAAAAATGAAACAAGCTACCCATAAGAACTGATTTAAGCCAGTAAAAACTAAACAAGTTTCCAAATTACTTACTTGTGGGATGTCCTCTTCTTCATCATGTTTGCGGACACTCCAGCATGGCCTGCAAGAAAGTATGCTACAGTCAGTGCAAAGCAGAGAGAATACCTCAGATCTTGGGGAAATTTTAACTTCTGCAAAACTGTTACATCAGTTTGTAAATAAACGAACAGGTTTAAGCAATTATTTAATTTATTTAACTTTTACAAAAGGAGCTAGTCTGAGCAGACAAAATGGCAGTCAATACTTCACTCCCAAATCAGCCATTAAAACACAAAACCAAGCTAGGTGCAGGTGGCTTATGCCTATAATCCTAGCTACTCAGGAGGCTAAGCTGTGATGATCGCAGTTCAAAGCTAGCCCAGGCAGGAAAGGCTGTGAGACTCTTGTCCCCAATCAACCACCAGAAAAGTGGCATTGTGGCTCAAAGTGATAGGATGTTAGCCTTAAGCAAAAAAAGCTCAGGGACAGCACAAAGGCCATGAGTTCAAGTGTTCCAGTGTTTGAACTGCACATGCACACATGTATACACACATTCTCTGTGTGTGTTTATACATAACAAAAGCTGCATAAACAAAGCTGTAAGAATGGAGAATTTCTGCGATGAAGCTGGAACTTCAGAACTCCCTTTTCATAAACAAGCAAAATGTATAAGCATCTGGTTTCCACGCTGGGGTGTCAGGCAATGAACATTACAGGAACTGGGAGCAGAAAAGCAAGCAAGGGGGCCTAACACTGAAGTCACTCCTGAGACCAATATTTGGGTGATGGTATATGAAGGAGCACTGGCTTTGTCAAGTGGAGAACCAGACTGCAATTAGGGGGAAATGGTGACTGGAAATATGGAACAGAGGATAGATAGTACAGGAGGGGCCTTCTCAGAAGAGAAGCTTCAGTAATGGGGGTGAGGGGAAATATATTACTGATTCAGTAATCTGAAGGGGAGACTCAGTCTTTAGCTAAACACATATCATCACATAAAGAGTTCTGGGAAGGGGCTGGGAAGGTAGCTCAGCGGTAGAGTGCATGCCTTGCAAGCATGAGGCCCTGGGTTCGATTCCTCAGCATCACATAAACAGAAAAAGCCGGAAGTGGCTTGTGGCTCCAGTGGTAGAGCAGTAGCCTTGAGCTGAAGAGCTGAGGGACAGCGCCCAGACCCAGAGTTCAGGCCCCATGACCGGCAAAAAAA